AAAAGATTACCACACTCTAAAAATACTAGCATGTAATGGATTTGCTCTTTCTTGACATCTAGCAAGTTTCCACAGCCCACATGTAACATTATCATGAACCAGTGAAAGGAAGAGTCTACAGACAAGAAAAATCAATGCTACAGGCAGGCTGAAACCCAGGCTGGAGTTTAAGAAGAGAAAGGGCATAGTTAAGAAGTGGGGAAAGGCTGGGGGGAAAAAATCATCACAAGGACTCTCAGGCATCATCCAACAATCATATAATCATTCATTCAAGAGAGAGTTACTGAGGTCCTATTTTGTGAAAGATTGTACAGAGGGTGAAGCAAGAGCGCAGAGACCACGGTGGCAGCAAGGAGCAGGGCTCAAATACACTTCTGATCCCAGTGCCTTACACACTTGTCCTCAGTATAAAGGCAAAAAAAGTAAAATAATACTCTGTAAACTCAAAGCATTGTTGAAAAGAATTAAAGTAGACCTAAATACCTGGAGAGACACACCACGCATATTCCTGGGTCAGAAGACAATGCTCTTGGGATGGCAGTGCTCCCCAGAGTGATCCGTGCATTCAACGTGGTCTCGATCACAATCCCTGCGGGCTCCTCTGCAGAAACTGACTAGCTGCTGCTACAAATCATATGGGAATTCGAGGGTCTCAGTAACCAAAGCAATCTTGAAAAAGTGGAACGTGAGAGGACTTTTAATTCTCAATTTCAAAACTTACACGTGTATCTCCAGGGGAGGAAATTACAGGCCAATTTTAACTTATTTACTGTGTTTATCCTTATTTTGTAAACTCTCTACAATGAATATTACTGTTACAATAAGAAAAATAAAAAGTAATGTATCTTTTAAAACATGCACACCGATTCATTCATTGGGAAAAAAATAACTATAAAGAGGTAATCAAATATCTAGTGAAAAAGGACTACTTAAAAACAAGAGTGCATTTACATGTTTCATAAATAGAAAACTGGAAAGCACAAACACATAAAGTTTCTAGGGAGCCTGGTGCAAAATATTGATAGTTATTTTCAAAAATTCTAATTGAAAAATGAAAACCCAAGAAAGGGAAAATCATGATTGACAGCCAACTGCAAACACATGGAGAGCAAAGGCCTAGAAATCCCAGTCCCTATAGCTGTGCTACTACCTCAGTAGGAGAGGAAATTCCTCACTGAGGGGACAGTGGGATTCCATGCATAAGTCAGGATACACAGTACAAACTGCACTAGATATGGGGGTGATATTCTTAGAAGAATTCTAAAGGTAGAACATTGCTGAAAAACTATAAAAACATTGACAGTTGAAAACACATAACCATATATATTATATATAAATGTATGAAGTCTGCTCCCATGTTGCATAGAAATACAAAGTTACATTTGCTCATTTCTGGGCACTGATTAATTTATCCCAGGTAGAATATTTCAACTAAAACAAATAATCAATAATACACCACTCTTGTCAAATCTAGTTGATAAGTTAGTCTGCTATGTAAGCATAATTTGTCGAAGATAGATCTATAATTAGTGAAAAATATCCTTGTATGGTTTCTTGAACTCTTCTCAAAATTCCAAGCTTAATTTTAAAATAGATCTGAGCAGTATTTTTATATTATTTTTTCACTTGTGAAAGGAACAACACAGTCTGTTGTCAAAATTCTGTCCTTACAATGATTCACTAGCACCGTAACCTAATAATACTGCTGGACAGCAAGGCACTATCCAGACACTGTGACAAAACAAATGAAACACAAGGAAGACAATGACCCTATTATGGAGGGCTTATAATCTATGTCAACACTGGGGTTTTTATTTGATTGGTTAGCAAAATAAAATCAATTAAGTACTTTCTTCTTTGAGCATTCTGTAAGTCATGACTCTGTTTTTAGTGTCATGAGCAGGAAAGACTTAAGCATGACTTGATTAGGTCAATTAGCAACAGCCATCACTGTAGGGTGAGTAATAAAAAGTTAACTGATAGCAATGCTTCTGCCTACATGAGACCTAAAATAAACCTACACTGAGCTCTGCAAGGAAAATGAGAAGATGAGGTCCCCAATTAGAAAAAAAAAAAACAAGAAATCAAAGAAGGAAAGACTTTCATTAATGATTCCAGGAAGGAGTAGAGCATGCTGGTGAAGAGCACAGATGCTGGGGACAAACAAGAGGGTCTGAAATCCCACAGCACCACTGGGTAGCTGTGACACTGATATTCAGGGAAATTTTCTTCATCTCAGTCTCCTCATCCATACATTGGGGACAACAACAGCACCCATCCCTAGAACGGTCCTAAGAATTCAGTTATTTTATATATAAATGTTTAAATAAAATACCTCATATCTTAAATATGACCCCAAAAGTACAAGGAACTAAGAAAACATAGATAAACTGCAGTTCATCAAAATTTACAACTTTCCTTCAAAGGACACCATACAGAAAGTGAAAAACAACACACAGGAGAAAATTTTTTCAAATCATTTTTCCGATAAGGAATTTGTATTTCCAAGATTAAAAAAGCTCCAACAACTCAACAATAAAAAGGAAACTCAATTAAAAAAGAATAAAGGATCTGAAAAGATATTTTTCAAGGAAAATGTAAAAATGGCCAATAAGCACAATGAAAAGATGTTCAATATCATTAGCTGTAAAGGAAACCAAGTCAAAACCACTAGGAGAAACTGCTTCACACTCACTACAATAGGTTATAATCAAAAAAAGAGTAACAAGCACTAATGACACAGAGGAAGCAGAGCTCGCAGCAGTTTCTAGTGAGGATGTAACATAGGGTGGCAACTATGGAAAACAGCCTGGCAGGTCCTCAGAGAGTTGAACATTTAGTTTCTGAATGACCCAGCAATTCTGCTTCCTGGGGATACACGAAAGAGA